AAAAAAAGGGGGGAAAAAAAAGGGCCCCCCCTTATATTCACAAGGGAAGGGGGGGTGACATTTCTTGGTTTTTGTCCGGGGTTTGGGGCCACAAAGGGGTTTCCAGGGGGGTCCCGTCCCCACGGGGGTAAAGATTGTACTCCGGGCCGTTGCCGGGGGCGGGGGGTTTTAATTTAAGCTCACCCCCAAAATTCCGGGGGGAGGGTGGGCGGTTTGGGGAAAACCCAGGGGGGGGGGGGGGGGGCGAGCGGTGGCAGGGGTGGTGGCAAGGGGGAGCGAGGAAGCTGAAGCAAGGGCAGAAGAAAACAATTGGGGTGTACTTGAGGCGTTCTCGCGCATCGGCGCAACCGTTTATAGACCGGTTACCGTCAGGGGGGGGGGTCTCCAAGTTGTGCCTGCAAGAGTTGCTCGCGCACAGGCTGAACCTAACCGCAACAAGCGGACACAACGAGAAGCGATTCGTCATCACGTGACGGACGTTTTTAGACTCATAAACGACGTGCTTCGCACACGTCAGCAAACAACCAGAGGGCACAAAAACCACAGGCCGCACCTGAGTGGGAGTCCGTAGCCCAAGCCCGCGAGAGGGGGGGGCTTCGAAGCGGAGTTGCCGCCGTTCGCCAAGTACGAAGTCTGCACGGCGTCCCCCGCCGTTGTGTAGAGGTAGCTCCAAACCTTTTGTGGGGTTACAACAACACCACGCGGGGGTGAACGGGAGGGTGTCACACAACCGATGAGACGATGAGGGACCTTCCGCGCAGGCGGGAAACGCTCAGGAGGGTCAGAGACATATACGGCGCGCGAAGTGCAGGGGGGGGGGGGGGGGGGGGGGGGGCCCCCGGTTGGCCCCTTCCCCAAAAAAAATTTTCCCTTTTGGGGGGGGGCAAAAAAATTGGATTTTGGAAAAGGGGGTTTTTAAAAAAAAAACCGGGGGGGGGGCTTTCCCCCCTTTTTTTTTTAAAAAGGGTCCCCGAAAAAAAAACCCCCGGGGGAAAAATTGGGGGGGGCCCCCCCAGGGGCCCCCCCCCCCGGGGGGTGGCACCCACAAAAAGCTTCCCCCCCCCCCCCCCAAAAAACCCCGTTCCCCAAAAATACCCCCAAGGGGGGGGGGGGCCCCCCCCCCCCCCCCGGGAATGGGGTCTGCTGTCGACAGTATTGCAGCGGTCCAGTCAGATGGACCCCCCCCCCTACAGGCACAGGAGGCCCCTCTCATCCAATCCAATACTGGAGTAAGAATGTTTATGGTGTGGGGCACATGTGCTCTCGTGTGATCGTTATCGTTTGTCACCTGCGGATTGATTAATAAACCCAGGTTACACACGCAGCAGAGGGAGGACGAGAGAGAGAGAGAGAGCAGCTCGTGGTGTCTCGTAGTTCGGAGAGCATATGCATATAACACACAGCAGTTATTCCTTGGTTGCTGTAGTTTTTTTTTTTCTTTGCATTCCTTTTTGTTATTTTTAGAAAGCTCGCGTTGACGACAGTATCCCCCCACCCCCCACCCCCCCTGTTATTCGCTAACGGTGCTCTGCACCTATAACCTCCTTGAAAAGCCTGCAAGATCGCGCGGTGGCTCTTCGCGTAGCGGCCACAGCAGGAGCAAAGGCAGCCGCTCCAACAACGCGGCCGAAGTGAGTCGTTTTCCTTTTCCTTCCACGTTTGTTTCCTCTCGGAACATGGATGACTCCAAGGTGTTACGAAGTGTTGAATGTTGTGAGGTGTCAATTTTCGAGGTTTTCCTTGAGGTAGATTTGGTAATACTATTTTGTAGGCGCCCATAACGTTAGATACCACCGGGAGTGTTTTCTTGCGCCGTACACAACGAACGGTACCCTGCGTTGTATTGACCCCCCCCTCCCCCCTACGTCTCTCAATATTTCATCAAGACGTACAACATTGCGCGGTACGTGGTACATACGCGCGGTCGCGTGTATGTATTTGTTGTTGGCATCGACCGCGCTACCTGGCTGACCAATAAAAACGTCAGTCTCCGTGCGGTTGAAAAACACGTGTGATTGTGTTTGTGTCCATTTTATTAGCATCGATTGCGCTAACCTGACCGTCTGATCAGTCTCAGTGCGGTTTGAAACACAACATGCTTCTTAAGGCCACGATCTGTATGTGTACGCCGCCGCCACCGCCGCATCAGGGGTCGCGAGGAGGCGGGAACAGCGGCGCTGCGAGGACACCTGCAGGGGGGGACCCCGCAACCAGCAACGGAAGTAGGGGTAGGGGCACCGCCAAGAAAAATAAGAGGAGGGCGGGTAGTCGTCGCGGAGGCTTGGATGATGACGGTACCGACTACGACGACGACGATGTGCAGCAGGTAGCCCCCCCCACCAGAAGCGCGATGGCTCAGAGGGTGAGTGGATCCGGCTGTCTGTCCTTGTGCTTGTTTTAAATAGTGGTTTTGGCTTGCGCTTGTGTTTTGCTTTGGGAAACTGTAAATAATTGTTGCTCCTTTGTCGATTTTTATTACCGTATCTTGTGTTTGTGTTTTTGCAAACTTTTTCCCTGTTTTTACGTTTTTTGTTTGTTGTGCCTGCGCACCCACTGCCATGGATGTCCGCATGTCTGGAATCTATTTTTCTCTTTGCGCGCTCCTGGTTGCTTGTCTCGCCCTGTGTTGGAATTTCTTGCTCCTATTCCATTTTTTTTTTTTGCCCTCGGGGTTGCTTCCGTTTGGTTGCGAAAGCACCACGCATACGATTGTACCAACCGCAATCCCGCCGCGTGCTGGAGAACACGGGCCTTGTGGTGTGGCTTTTGCGCCTCGACGGCTTGTTTACGGGCGGTTCTCGTATTTAGAAAACATATTGGATAAAGCATACAATCGGGGAAGTTGGGTTACGGTTGGGGATAGGGAGTAGGGTCTGCGTACCCCCTCCTTGTTCTATTTCCCTCGTTATTATTATTTTCCCACGGTGGCGGTTCTTGGCACCCTTAACCCTTTCCGCCACCACCAACAACAACAACATAACCTACGAGCAGCAGCAGCAGCAGCAGCAATTTTTTATGGTGGCGACTCTGCGATAGGCGTGTTTTCGTAGCGGCGGTGATGTGATGGCGGCGATGTTTTGTGTCGTGTTTTCGCACCCTTGCCGCAAACAATTATTTTCTTGCCTCTCCGTTTGTCGTGTTGCTGATGGCCGACAACATGCATATCGTCCCCCAGCAGGGGTCGTCTGGTCACCGGAAAGAGGGGTCCCGCGGGAGTCAATCTTCCAGGTCTGCGGGGGGGAGCAGGTGCGACTTTTATTGGCGATTAACAGAAATTTTTCCACCTCCCTCCCGCCCCTTTTCTTGTTGATGCTTTTGCTGGAGCATTAACAACCCACAGCCCCTCCACCTACGAAGGCTTGTGAATTCATCATTATCTGCCGCGGAATGGCGCAAATATGTTGCCCCCGCCGCCCTCCCCACCCGCCCCCATATGGCCAATACCCATTTCGGGCTTGGGTTTCCCCCCCCCCCCCGCCGTCCGGAGTGAAAGCGGAGGACTATTGTACGTGTTTTGTTGTGAATTCGTTTTTTTGTCCGCATCGTGGGTATCACTGCTGTTGCTGTTGTTGAGAGTCGATGATTTATTTGTACCGTTTCGGTGAAATACCCGTTTCGACTTACTTGTTCCCGTTCGAGATACTGAAATGCCCCAATCTCTCTTTTGTTGGTGTTGGTATTGGTGTTGATGGTGCTGTTTTGTGTTGGCTGAGCAGGAAGAGCAGCATGACCGACATGAGCTTGCGGAGCGCGGGAGCGGTGTCGGTGCCGTCGGAGTTCCCGTCCAAGCAGAAGTTTAGCTCGAGGAGCGAGAGGTCTTTCGGGTCAGGGCTAAGCTCCGCAAGAAGGCGCATGAGCGCGGAGGAGGTGCTGATGACCCCGGCCATGGCTATGGCGTCCGCGGTAGGTTGGCTTCGGGGGTACCATGTCGTGTTGTTTTTCTTGGCTAGCGTCGACCACGCTAACCGTCTGGCCAATGAAAAGACGTCAGTCTTATATGTGGCGGGATAATTAAACGTGTTTGTGAGTAAGTTGGCATCGACCGCGCCAACCGGCTGACCAATGAAAATACGCCAGTCTCATGCTACAGCGGGATAATAAACGCGATCACGCTTTCTAATGAAGCGGTTCTGCCGGCAGGGGGCGGCGAAGGAGTTGTGTGTGTGTTTGTGTGTTTTTTGGGTTGGCATGGACCGCGCTAACCGGCAGACCAATGAAAAGACGTCAATCTCAGCGGTTGTTTGTATGTGTGAGTCTTGGTTGACAGCATCGACCGCGCTAGCCGGCTGACCAATGAAAAGACGTCAGTGTCGGCGGGTAAAAATCAAGGTCCTGGCAAGGGGTCCAACATTCGACAAAAATGCGCAATGTGCTAAATGCGGACGCCAAATCAACATGACAACATATTATATGCGTGTGGGTGTGTGTTTAGTGTGTGTGTGTGTGTGTGTTTTCTGATTGTTTGCCGTCCGTTGTGCGTGCGAAACACAGGTTTCGGGGCTAGTTCGGAAGGATGAGGCCGTAGCCTACACCCTGCAGACGATCACCGGCAAGAATCCGGTCTGGTTCCCCGGCATGGTGACCAACGTCGAACGTCTGGTTCAGAGGTCTATCGAGATGGAGTCTGTCATGGTGCGTGCCGTCACTGCTTTGCGAGCGGCGTCGTTTGTTGTCTGCTGCGTCCGGTGGTGGTGGTGACGTGATGTTTCTGTAGGATCGCTTTTGTTGTCGCCCCTTGTTGTTGTTGTTGTTATTGTTGCTGCTGTTGATGACGATAATCTTGATGTTGATGGTGTTGGTGTCGTCTCAGTGCTGTTGTTGTCTGCTGCGGTGGTGACATGGTGTTTTCTTGTAGGATGACTCTTGTTGTTGTCGCCCCTTGTTGTTGTTGCTGCTGCTGCTGTTGATGACGATAATCTTGATGTTGATGGTGTTGGTGTGGTCATCATTGTTGTTGTTGTTGTTGCTGCTGGTGCTGCCGTAGTCTGGGCTGCCCTAGGCCCTAGCTCTTGGCTGTGTTCCGCTATATGGTATGCATTACGTCCGTCCGCCGACAACGCGTATGCTGTTGTTGTTTTTTTCCTGGTGCTTGTGTTTTTTGTTTATTCAACACAACTCCCCGCGTGCTCTACTCTGCATACCCCCCCCCACCCCCACCCCCTCCCCCCCGCTTTTTCATTTCTTGTCAGGTGGCAGCGCTCAGCGAGCTCAGACGCTTCAAGGACTCACCGTACGACGACACTTTGGCCCGTGGCGAGTACTTCGACGTCCTTTACCGGGGGCTGTGCGGGGCGCACATCGCGGCCGCCGTTGTCGCCAGGGGAGGCATCGTGGCGGAAAGCAAGGACGGCTGGCTACGCAAGGTGCGCTCACGTTCTCTCTCGCTACCGTAAGATAATATTAGTACCACACGAATTTTTTGAAGGTATATAACCTGTCCCTTTTGTGTCCGCGGAAAAGTGATGTTCGGCCCGAATATTGCAGTATTAATTAACAGTGGGCCCGTTTTGTTCTTTGTCCGCGTTTTTTTTCTTCTTTTTGTTGCTTTTCGCTCAAGGCGAGCGCGCTTGTGAGGATCGTCTGCCTGGCCTGCCCCAGCATCAAGCCCGGAGTGGAACTCCTTGGCAAGGCGTTGCAGCTGGCGGAGCGGGACAAGATGGCGGATCACGTCGAGCACGTAAGGGAGAGAGGGACTCAGTCCGCCAAACAGTTTCACTATTTAGCACGAGTTGGTTCGGTTTTTAGAAATGTTCATAAAATATTTACTCTCTTTACTCCCAGGCATGGTGCAATATTGGGTTTGGGGCGTTGTTTCTTTATTTTCGGGGTGTTTTTTATTTTCAGGTTTGGGGACGCGATATATATTCAAGAATACCATCAAAGAAAGACCAGTGTACCCGTTCGAGATGATATGATGCCATAGCAGAAGTCCAAGGGGGTGGGTTGAAAATGTTGCGGTCAGTGGCCACGCTATTGGTACTGTGCCATTACGCGGAAAACAATGCTTCGAAGTAGTGTTTTTTTTTTCGTATTATTACTTTTCGGGGGGGGGGGGGGGAGTGAAAGGGTCCCCACAAATTTGTTTGTCGGTCGC